ACACAGTGTCGCTAATCGAGCTCTTGTAGGTGATGTGCCCTGCCTCCCCTTTCACCGTCTCTGGATCTCCAGGCTGGAGATGAGAAGGATGATCATTTCTGGCACGTACTTTGTACTCCGTATAAGCGGGCCTTGGTGGGTGGTATTATGATCTACATTTTCTAAGTGAGGAAACAGGTGCAGAGGGCCAGAGGAACTCACTCGTGATGACACAGTCAGGATTGAAATTCCATCGGTCTGGCCTCAGAGCCCCTGTGGCTCTACTCTAACCGCCGTCTTGCCTGTGGCATGAGAAGTAGGCAGACAGGCTACTCTCCCTGACTTCCTTTCATTTTGCTGGCTCCAACATCATGAAGGAAATATGATCGTTCCTTTGCCACCAAATCTGGGCAAGTACAATGGGGTGGGGTCCGAGCGACTCCATTTCTCTGTGTTCCGTTAAATGCAAGGATTCCTGATGCCAGACAGGCCGGGCATCTAGCTCTGTGAGGGAAAGTCATCCACACCTCAGAATCAAAGGAAGAAATCAAGGCAGAACTTTCCATGCCTGAGGGCAGGCTCAGGTACACAGGGTAACCTGGCAATATGACGAAGGGGGTTATGAGGAAAGTTATAGGAAAATTGAAAGTATTTCTGTTAGTATTGACATTAGATTCTAGTGACAGAGGGTAAGGATGAGATGTCATCTTTGTCTAACAATGCAAGTGCATATAACATGGTAACTAGCTGACTAATTGAGGCTCATTTTTAGACTTAGAATAATTTTTTTTATAAGAAATCGTATTAGCTTCACATTAAACTCACATTGTTCACATATATTCAATGTGTATATAAGAAAAGAAGAAGGCTACATTGAATAATTATAGCTTTTTTTTTATACGTTGGGAGATTCTATTATAAAGAACTTCTCAGGGAATCTGTCTCTCAGAGGGGATCTTTGTCAAAGTCAGCTCTCTTGAGGTATTTCATGTCAGCACCGATGAACACATGACCTGCCACCTGAACTAAGTCACTTAGCACAAATCTTTTCTGGGCTTCCATCCAGTTCCAGTCCCCATTGCTGCTTCTGCTTCCTCACAAAGACCCCTCTCATTTTCTTATCCCATCTGTTCCATTTTCTCTTCTAAGGCCTTGTCTATTAATCAATTGAAATTTATTCCTCGACTGACACTGGATCCGCCTTTTTCTCTTAACAATTTTTTTTTTGCTGACGTTGCTGCACATTGTGTGTGTGTTGTGTTATGTGTGTTGTGTTGTGTGTGTTTGTGTGCACTTTTATATGTCCCATGTGTGCTCAGGAGGCTGTAGCGACCAGTAGAGGACTCCAAAACCCTGGATCTGGAGTTTCCCTATGGTGAGCCACCATGTAGGTGCTGGGAACTGAACATTGGACCTCTGCAAGAGCAGAAAGAACTATTAACCTCCAAAATATCTTTCCAGCTCCTGATGTGAGGTTTAACCCTACTGTTTAAACCATAAGTGTTTTTAGAAATAATTTATTTTATGTGCTTTGGTATGAAGGTGTCAGGTCCCCTGGAGTTATAGACAGTTGCGAGCTGCCATGTGGGTGCTGAGACTTGAATCTGGCTCCTCTTGAAGAACAGCCAGAGTGCTTCCCAGCCCCTCTCCACAAATGTTAAAGCTCTCTCCTTTGACTTCTTGGTCCTGCTTGTATCCTGGGTACCTTCCTACTCCCTTCTCTGTTCTCATCATAAGCTGAACACTCTCCAGGCCTTCACATAGTGTGCCTTCCCTCATTCCTCTCAAACACACAGTATTCATAGCATAAGATCAATATATATTAGCTAAATTGTAAAATGGGTATTGACTAATAATGTGTTTAAGACTAAAAGTGTGAGTCAAATATTTTACTTACAGGATTTGAAAAAAGTTAAATTAATAAAGTTGATGGTATAAAACAAAGATGAAAATCAGGTGAAGAAAACATTCCTATAAATCTCAGATACACACTGCCATAGGATGTTGCTGAAATTAAAGTTACTCTTCAAGTATAAGAACATTAATTTTTATGGCTTATTAAATGAATAGGTTTTAAGCTAATGTCAGTTTAAAGGACAAATAAAATCAACTCATTAACATTTCAAACAGAGTTCTCTTTAAGTACCCATAAAACAGTATTGTCACTGAATCGGATAGAAATCTTTTTATTATACAGAGAGAGACAGACAGACATAGTGTCTTAATAAAAATAACTTAGCAATACATACCTATTTCTGTAATAGTTACATTTTCAATGTATGTCTTTACACCAGACTTGTTTGTTATTTTTTTGTTTTGTTTTGTTTTTTTGAGACAGACTTTGTCTGTAGCTTTGGGGCCTGTTCTGGAACTAGCTCTCATAGACCAGGTTGGCCTCGAACTCACGGAGATCTGCCTGCCTCTGCCTGCCAAATGCTGGGATTAAAGGCGTGCGCCACCACTGCCTGGCATATAATTGTCTTAATGTGAGATACTGTTATGTGTGTAATAGCAAAGGAAATCTAGAAGTTAATGATTTATCTACTATTAAACGTTCCCCTTTAAAGACATTGTGCCTAGAAGTTAAGTCCTGGGGACCTGTCATGCGTTTTATATTCCATTTTAACAGTCGTAACAAGAGTCAGACACCTATAACCAAATTTGCATGTTTGCTGACTGTTGATCAATATATTTTTATAGTTACAGATTTTTTCTATAGTATTTCAAAATTCAATGAAGTGGAATAATTATAAGTTTTAATTTCAGAAGGTGTGTGTGCATGCTTGTAAATAGGTTTATGTGTGCAATGTGTGTGTATTTGTGTTTGTGTATTCAGACATGTCTACATCTCACCTATACGTATAGTTAATGTGTTTTAAGGCTGAGTGATACCTGGCACCCTTAAAGAGAAGAAATGGTGACACTTAAGGATATAAGGATAAATCTACAGGGGAATTATATTAATTCACTTCCTGTTTAAGTAGCTCATATGGCAGAGGAAACATCATTGGGCACATTCAGAAATTAATTTAACTATGGATAATACTATTTATTTTCTTTGAAATACATGGAATTTTTGAGAGAGCAGTAGAAACAGGGACAAGCTATCCACAACAGTGATTATAAAATCCTGTTTCATTATCTACTGTCTGAAGCTGTTGCTCTTCAAAGAAAACAGAAAGAAAGTAATAGGAAATAGTCTGGAATACACACATTGATAAGTGGGAGTATATTTGCCTTAAAATTGTGATTGAGCTATAGTTCAAATAATTGCCTCTGCAATTATAAAAATCTGTCAGCTTTATTTATCCTTTGACCTATCTTTTTCAGAAGTGAAAGCTTTGATAAGGCATTGTTTCAATGGAAATGTATTAAAGCAAAAAAAAAAAAACCAAAACTCTCATTTGAATAAAAACTCTCATTTGAATAGTTTTTTGTTTCAGCTAGTAGCTGACAAGTCTCTCATAATCATCTTACAAACACAATTAAGAAACGTGGGTGAGAAGGAAGCAGAATTCACATGCATTGTATATGCTCTGATTAGCATGTCACAAGCCTGTTATAAAATGGCAGGCTGTGCTGCTGTTGCTTGGTTTGGCAGGTCTTTTCTGTTTAGAGTTTATTAATGATTTCAATGATGTAAAGATGTGTCCTGTTTGACTGGAAATCATGATTTTTATACTTCAAAATAACAAAATCACAGGAACATAATGTTCAAATAATAGAAGATTAGAGACTGAAATCCAGAAGATGAAATAATACAAGGTTTGTTCCAACACTGTGATATAAAAAGACAACCATACAACAGAGAGAACATGACTGGGCAAATGTTTTCATTCTAACAAAAGAGGGCAGTGTTTACCTGAGCACATGCCAGCACAAACCCAAAGCATCATCCCAGACTAGAAACATCTTAGAAAGCAGTGAATGTCTACTGTCCGTGGTATGGGGCTTACCCCACATACTGCATTGCACCCTATTAAGACTATATATTTCTAGTTCCATTCTTGATACCTGCAGGAGGTCATTTAGTGTTTCCTGGGACAAACTACCAGCCTGCAGTGGGCTTAGGAAAACATACAATGAAGGAAAAACGTATCAAGAGAATCCTTTCTTTATTAACCCAAAAAGGCAAAGCTAATAAATTGGTCTTTAGATATTTGAGGTACAGTGATATATTTGAAGGGTTTGACTTATTTTACATAGGGTAGAAATGAGATTAATATGAACAAATGAGAATAATTTAAGGTATACCTGGGCAACAAGAAAAAATACGACCTCTACTTCAGGAGCTAAAAGCCAAGTCATTTGAATACATGTTACAGAACTCTTATCCACCCTGCTGTAGCACTGATAATGCCTGATTTATGTAGCACAAAGGCTTGACAAACAGCATATGAGAAAGCATCCAGAATCAACTGAAAACAGTTCAACATGACCCAAGGAAGGTGTGCCAAGAGTCCCAGTGGAGTGGACCAGTTACCAGAATCCTTCAGGGATTCCCTTTCGTGGAGACACAGAGATTCCGCTCTGGCCAGAGATAGAGTTATTGTGTTATGTCCAACTATAACTGATATTCACTTATTGCCTATTTCATCTCGGTTAAAACCAATAAATAATAATTAAATAAGAGTTACAAAGAGTCACTAATGTCAATTAGCTAATTTGGGTCAAGAGCACAGCTAATATCCACAGTTTTTAGAGAATATGTGATAGACTGGGCTTCAACCAAAATACTCCTTAGCTTAAGGATGAAAACTATAGCCAAACTATTCTAGACCAAATTAGGGCTAATTTATTTTCTACAAATAATTGTCTGTAGATTTGTGCTGCCAATTTTGAAACTCTGTAGACTTTTCTGACCTTAAACTTCTGTCAGAATCTCTAATCTTATATTCTGTCTTTGGCAGTCGGTACCCCATATGCACCTGTTTGCTATATTTTTATTTTATTTTATTAGTGCTCAAAAAGAATTATCCTCCAAGTTAGCAAACTCTACCAGCTGTTCCTAGCTTACTTACCCTTTGACCTTCTTTTCCAGGTGGACCTTGGGGGCCTTGGATCCCTATGGAAGCCTGCGAAGAAAACGGAACACATGTTACCACTGGAGCTCTGTGCACCTGCCATGAAAGAATGTAGTGATAATTGATACTCATTTCAGTGGTGAAACCTAACAAGTTCAAGTCATTTGAGCTCCTGCAATGTTAATATATCAGTATGTCAATATATTAATAATGATAAGTGGCTCTTCCTGTTTCCAGAAAAGAGTAAATGGAAGTTCTGAGTCAGACGAAAGGGTAAACAAATGAACAAACAAGCAAACAATCAAAAAACCTCAAAAATACAAACAAAAAAACCCTCTTATTACTGAAACCCCATATTGTCAAACTACCAAACACGGAGGCTAACAATATTTATAAGCAGAAAAATTACCTTTTACATATTTAAATTTTATAAATAAATTACAATTTTGTTGAGAGTAGCTTTGTATAGTTTTAGAAAACACATGATTGGCTTCAAATATGTCTATTTATAACATGTACCTTTTGGTACCTTACATGTTATTGAATGATTTCTCTTATTGCCATCAAATGATGAAGGAAACCCATTATTTTTCAGACCATAAAAATGTTGATGAAACCCCAGGAGCTGTTATTCTGAAAGTCAGCTTTTTGAATTTCAGAAGAATTTGTTATTACAAGATGCCCTGCTCAACCTGAAACTGAGACTATATCACTCTTCTTTATCTTCAGCAATTATTATTTGGTATGGGATAATTCTGTATTCTGTCAATTATATTTTAAATAAATGCTGATTGGCCAATCAATAGGCAGGAAATATAGGTGGGTCAACCAGACAGGAAGTAGAGGCTAGTCAATGAGAATAGGAGAATTCTGGGAAGAAGGAAGCCCATTCCTCTCCAGTCCTGCTCAGACCAGGAAGAAGGAAGATGTGACCTGCCCCGCTGAAAAAAGTACTGAGCCATGTGGCTAACATAGATAAGAATAATGGGCTGATGTAAGTCATAATAGTTAATAAGAAGCCTGAGCTAATGGGCAAATCAGTTTATAACTAACGCAGACTCTCTGTATGATTTCTTTGGGGCTAAATGTCTGTGGGACCTGGTGGGAAGATAGAAACCAGGCAGGACAGAAACCTCAGTCAACAGAATGCCCACGTGGACACCTGCATCCACATAAAACCTGAGAGAGTTTGAGAAGTAATTCTAGACAGAAAAGAATAGAGTAAAGCATGGCTTCTTGGTAGCAGCAATTTCTTGGATCTGCTTTGCTTGCTAGAGGCAAGCGCTCTCATTTAAGAGAGGCTTCCTGACTCAGCTTGAGCCACAAAACCCTGAAGCTCTTTAAGAGGTTTGCCAAGGACATAACCCATTACTGGACATTATATAGGATGAAACATTTATTACATTGTCTGTACATAGAGAACATTTAAAATAGGAAGGCAGAAAGATAAATAAAATTGCAATTCCCAAATGAAATACAAACACACCAAATATCAAATTTTGAATCCATAAAAAAAATTTTTTTGAATCCATGAAGGCCAATTTTAACTATGATCATATTCAGTGCCTACACTCTGAGGCTTTGCAGATGTACTATCTACTAGTAAAGAGAAGGAAAATCTACCTAAAATTAGCTTCCTAGTAATTTGGCTTTACTGGAGTTCTAAACAGCACTAAAGCACCAAATGCCACAACCTTGAATGTAAATGTATATAAAACAAATAATGCAATGCATGGATAGTACATTTTTAAAAAGCTATTAAAGAATATATGTCTTAAGCAAAAAAAAAAAAGGTCTGCCATGAAACACTTAAATGGTGTTTATAAAAGCTGACCGCATGCTTTTGGTTTTCAGCTATAGCAGGAAAAAAAACTATGCTGTTTTAAAAAAACTCTGACCCTTTCAGGCAGGAGATCTGGCTGAGTGTGGTTTGTGAGCACATTGTTGCAGCTTGCTTGCTGGCAGGGACCTTGAGTTGTGGCAATAAACATGGCTCCAGCTGGTACCTCCGATATGAGTCTGGAATTTCAGAAAGCTAAGGAATGGGCTGCATCCAGCCGTCAAAGCCATGACTTTAATCCTACCCATATTGCTTAGCAAATTAAAGACTCATGTGTTTAGAAAAAGCGAGAGAGATACAGTAAAGAGAGATTCAAAGATGAAGAAAACCTCTAAATGTTTTACAGTGTGTTAAAAATATATGCAGGCTTAAGATCTCCTATGCTCTTGGATGAATTAACATAGTAAACTGGTAGAATTAACATAGTAAAATGGCAATCTTACCAAAAGCAGTCTACAGATTCAACACAATGCCTATCAAATCCCAGCAAAATTCTTCACAGACCATGAAAAAACAATACTCAACTTCATATGGAAAAGAAAAAAAAAACCCAGGATAGTCAAAACAATCTTGTATAATAAAGGAACTTCTAGAGGCATCACAATCCATGACTTCAAACTCTACTACAGAGCTACAGTACTGAAAACAGCCTGATTTTGGCATAAAAACAGACAGGAGGACCAATGGAACTGAACAGAAGACCCTTATATTAATCCACACACCTTCAAACACCTGATTTTTGACAAAGAAGCAAAAAACATCAAATGGAAAAAAGGAAAGCATATTTAACAAATGGTGCTGGCATAACTGGATACCAACATGTAGAAAATGAAAATAGTTCTATATCTATTTCCATGCACAAAAGTCAAGTCCAAATGGATCAAAGACCTCAACATAAAGCCAGCCACACTGAACCACATAGGAGAGAAAGTGGGAAGTACATTTAAACTTATTGACACAAGAGACCACTTCCTAAATATAACCCCAATATCAATGTCACTGAAAGCAACAATTATTAAGTGGAACCTCTTGAAACTGAGAAGCTTCTATAAAGCAAAGGACATGGTCAACTTGACAAAACAGGAGCCTACAGAATGGGAAAAGATCTTCACCAACCCCACATCAGACAGAGGAGTGATCTCCATAATATACAAAGAACTCAAGAAATTGGTCATCAACAGAACAAATAATCGAATAACTAAATGGAGTACAGATCTAAACAGGGAACTCTCAACAGATGAATCTAAAATGGCTGAAAGACACTTAAGGAAATGGTCAATATCATTAGCCATCAGAGAAATGCAAATCAACTCTGAGATTCCATATTATACATCCCGTAAGAATGGCCAAGATTAAAATCAGTGACGATAACTTTTGTTAGAGAGGATGTGGGGTAAAGGGAACTATTGGGGGAGGCTGTTTGTTCATTCCTGGCTGCCGAGAACTGAAATAATCACACAGAAATCTGTATTATTTGCAATAGTGTTTGGCCAATAGCTTATGCGTCTTTCTTGCTAGCTCTTATTCTTAAATTAACCCATTTCTATTATATTTTACCATGAGGCTCGTGGTTTACCAGTAAAGTTCCAAGGCATCTGTTTCCTTTGGCGGCGGCTACATGGTGTCTCATTGACTCTGCCTACTTTCTCCCAGCATTCAGTTTATTTTTCCCACCTATCTATTCTTCCAAAGCAGCTTCTTTATTAACCAATATACAGATGGGCTTCCCACACCATTTACACAATGGTACATTTACACAATGGAGTACTACACAGTGGGAAAAGTATAATGACAGCTTGAAATTTGTGGGCTAATGGATAGATCCAGAAAACATTATATTGAGTGAGATAACCCAGTCCCAGAAATACAAATATCATATGTACTCATAAGTGGCTTTTAGACATAAAGCAAAGAAAACCAGCCTACAAATCACAATTTCAGACATCCATGAGGACCCTTAGAAAAACATACATGGATCTAATCTACATGGGAAGTAGCAAAAGACAATATCTCCTGAGTAAATTGGGAGCATGGGGATCATGGGAGAGGGTAGAAGAGAAAGAGGGAGGATGGGAGAGGAGTGGAGAAAAATACATATCTCAATAAAAACAATTTAAAAAATAAATAAAAATAACAAAATTCTGTATAAATTATTGAAACAGATATTCGAACATTAGTACAAAATTTCTGATTTTTGCTAATTGTCAAATTCTTGACTTCTTCACCATGGTTGATGAGTAAAAGCTATACATTTATCACTTTGGTTATTTTATATAATTTGGAAGAATAATGGTATGAAAGTATGATGAACTTCCATTTTACTATCTTAGGAGTAAAACTTGGGGACTGAGAAATTGATCAATTTTGTTTGTAATTTAAAAACCACTGTCAAAATGATATATAAGCATGGAAAGTTGGCTCGTTAGCCTAATTCCAAGATAACAACAAATTCCTAATATTTATGAGTAAACCGAATGTTGAAATTAAAATATACCAATATTAATTACAGCATAATTACAGAGGCACATTATTTTGTATGAGACTGACACATTCTTGGCTCTAAATGAAACTCTTCTCTTTTGCCCTCAGGAAAGCTACCGTATTTCAAGAATAATCAAACTAATACACAACATTTTTGATATTCATCCAAATGCTGACAACTCCTTCAATGTTTTTAAACATGTTTCTAAAATTCATACACATTGGCTATCATCAAAGGAATATGCTTAAATCTTGGAAATATTAGAACTGTATTCCCTTTACAAGTATGGAAAATTATATTGTGAAGTCTGCACAATAATGCAAAATAGTACATTTTATTTTGAATGAGTTCAACATATTAGGAAATATGAGAATCTTTTGTGCAAAGGTCTACTCGGGAAGAAAATGGTACACGCATAAATGCCAAGTGTGCCATACAGCCACAAGCTCTGCTCCTACTTCACTCAGGCTAAGTGAAGGAGCCAAGTAGCAGATTGATGAAAGCTCACTAAATTCTGTTTAATCTTGAACAAATAACGTCCAATTAAAATTATCCACGGCATCTTATATTTAATCTTCGCCATGCTGCCCCAATGCTCAGAAATTTTGCTCCTGGTGTGCTGGATAGTGTTATCAAACTCAGGACGCAGGCTGCTGTGTGTAATGCCCTGTCTTTGATCCAGCTCCAGTACTTTTTATACTGCAGTATGGAACATTAGCTGACATTTAC